TGTTCATTGTCTTGGATTATATAAATTTAACAAAATTTTTATTGAGAACTAAAGTAACTAATTTATTTTGTTTCTATAAAATGTTAACTACAAATTATATCTTATAAATAATAGACTTTACTGATCAAAATTATCAAATAGAGAATAAAATATGAATTACTATACCAAATTAATTATTATAAGTTTATTCTTGTTAATGGAATTATTTTAATAGAATTTTCTTATTCCAATTTACATAAATAGGGAAAATATAATATTAATATCATGTTATATATTTATATTTCAGTTACTATTGATAGTATTCTCTTCTTCAATATAATATGGATCTGGTGTTTATTTTTTTCTAAGAAACATATCCTTTGGAAATTCTCTAAGGTTTTTACTTTTTCCATTTAGAAAACTTTGAACTAATTATTCTTATTATTCTTCAGATGATTAGATTGAATTATGACATACTTTTGAGATTGACTTTCTTCTATTTTTAAGTTAATAATTAAAATCAGTTGAATCTTCTTCTTCTTCTTAAGTATTGTTACTTAATTCAGAAGATGAATGGGTTGGTTTTGATTCATCTTCCCAATCATATTATTGTCTAACTCTTTCTTAATTCTTAACATCTCTTAATATTTTATCACATAATTAATTTCCTTTTTAACATTTACATTTTATTTATAACATTTCAACTGTTTTCTTAACAGCCAATAGTGAATTTTGATTATCAATTTTCTATTTGGCTAATAATTCTTCTAACCATGCATTTTATTAGACAAGTTTTTAATATTAAATAGTAAATTCCTTTTGCATCATTTTAATCTTACTTTTAAGATCAATCTCTTTCTATTTATATTGATTAAGTTAACTAGCCAAGAGTCTATTAGATAATGTAATTTCTTTTAATTTTTATTCCAAATGTGATTATTTATTAACTGAATGTCTAAAAAATCTAACATCTGAATGTTTATGATATTCAATAGCATTTTCAACAAATTTAAGAAAATCACTCTCATTATTTTTATTTACACTATCTCTTTATATAGATTCCTTCATAAAATCACTATCACTTTTAGAGTTATTTAATTTAAAAAACTAATCAAACAATTTTTCACCTTCGAATTCCTCTATATCATTTATCGGTGTACCATGCCTATATGAATGTTATTTGTTATCAAGTGTTGATTTAGCTCTTTAATGTTTTATATCTACACTAGGTTTACGTTTCTGAATTAATGATTCAATGTATTATAAATTGTTTCTGTTCATGTCTTCAAATAAACCAAATGACTATTAATCATTTGGAGACTTCTTATGTCTGAGTTCTCTTGAACTTATTAACAAAACATCTTACTTGCATAATTTATACCCTGCTTTCCTGACAGTTAACTTAGTGACATTTAATTAAATTATATTAAATAAAACAAAAATTCATTTAAACACTTTAAACATACAACTATTATAATTATAAATTCTAATACAATATTATAAATTTGATATCTAGTAAATGTTAAGAAATTATTAAGATAAATATATATAATTCTATATTTTTTATATTTGATTTATATATATTTATCTTGTATTTTAAAAAGAATCAATTTGTTCTTTGATTTAACATATTATAAAACAATAACTAATATTGATTGCAATAAAAGATATTTATATTAATTTAGGAATTATTATTAATAATTTTAATTTTTTATTATTTCTTATTTAATGATTCCAAAACTAAGTCGAGAGAATACAATTAGTAATACCAGTTATCTTCCCAGACATTTAAATATATAAGGGTTCTAAAAATTCAACATAAAGTCTAATTCTCCAAGAACATTGTAAGCTTGTTAAGAATTGGGAATTGATCCAATAGTTTTAGAATTAAAGTAAGTTAGTTGATGTATACAAGAGAAGAATCTGATTTCAAATAAAATGATTTAGATGAAGAAATAATTCAACTCAGATATTAACATTATTTAAACAGAGCTCATTGTATATAAGATGAATAATATTTATTATAGAACTGTTCACTGAAATAACTTAAAGAAGAAAAGAAATAATTTAAAGATAAAGATAAAAATAATTAAATAATAATGCCTCAATAGAATCATTAGATAGATCAAAAACAATTAAGTTATAATAATCATTAGATTAATGGGAGTAATAATAATTTTATATAAAAATTAGGGTTCGAAGATAAATAGATTCAATATATAATAGAACTGTATCCTTTTTACATTAAAAGAGTGAATCTCCAACTAAAGATCAATTTGTAGGAGATGTTTATGATCTCAATTAATTAGAAGGTGGAATAGAAAAAGAGATTGATAGATATAATAAACATAAAAAATAAAAGATTGTAATTAAATATATTAATATATATATAGAGAGAAGCACAATTAAAATTGAAAGAGGATGCAAAAAGATTATAATTGATAGAGAAATGGAAATAAAAAGATTCATAAATTTTAGATTAAATATTGAAAAGATAATATGCATTTAAATAAAAGATGAAAGCATCAAGTAGTGGAAGAAAAACTCCTTTACAAAAGATTCCATAAATTACAGATCCTAAATCATTTAAAAGAGATAGTGAAACTAAAATAGATAAGTAATATATCATAATTAAATTAAGAGGAGATACATCATTGTAAAAAACAATGTATAGAACTAGAATTGATGATTCTAAAGTAAAATAAAGAAGAGAGATGGTAATTTAAAGAAAGGAGGAACTCAATAAATTAGAAGATATTGAATTATAAAAGGATCTTGAAAAATTATAAATGAAATTGAATTAAAGCGAAAAATTATCTAAATAATAAGCATAAATTAAAGTTGAAAGAATTAAAGAATAATATTATCGAGAATAATAATTAATTTAATAATAAAAAGAAATTAATGTTATTTAATCTCAAGAACATTTAAGTGCCATGATTAGTAAAATGATTAATAAAGAATAAGAATTTAGAGGATAACTTTAATCTTAATTAATGTAAGATTTAGAAAAAAAATAATCTTAAAAAGAAAAATAAAAGAAAATTAAATAAAATCAAAATGATTTATTTAAAGATCATGAGTAATTATATATTATTATAATAATAATAGCAAAAAATTAAAATAATTAAATGATAAATTTATTAAAATAGAAGAATAAAATAAACTTAGAAGATAAGAATTAGAACATAAAATATTATTAAAATAAGAATTAAGAAGATTAAAAGAATAAGATAAATTAGATAATTATGAGAGATAAAAAAGATAAAATGATTATAAAATGATGACTCTATATATGAAATCTAAATTTATTGAAGAAAAAAATTAACTTAAATAATATTAAAATGTATTGATTTAAATTAAATACAGGAAGTTATTTAAAAAACATCTATGGAAATAAATAAATAGGAAATATAAGAACGATAAAGAATTTATTCATAACTACAAGAATTGAGTGATAATTTATTGAACTATAAAGTAAAATATTGTATTCATATTTAGAGTGTTTCATAACATGAATCAAGATAAAAATAAGACTAAGCAAAATTTAAAAGTGTTAAGTAATCATCTTATCTAATTTATAGATTGTTAAAGAAATTTGCTAAATTAGAAGACCCTAACATTGAGCAACATACAAAATTACTATTAACAATGCTTCAACCTAAACCTATTGAAAATGAAAATTCTAATAGAAAATTAAGTGTTCACAAAAAATGATAATATTCTTATTTAAGTAATTTATTTAATTTTTTCTGATTAAATTATCTGCCTCCAATTTTATTTTATAATTAATTTAATTTTTCATCATTTGTAAATAGATAACTTTATTTTTGAACAGAATTTATAAGTTAAATACATTTTATTTAAACTTCTTTGTTATCAATATATTTCAATATTTAATGGATAATGAAATCCAAATCGAAAATAAAGTAAAACGAATTAAAGAAAGATATGTTTATGAAGCTATACTTTTAGTTGAATAATGGAGGTATGATAAATATATATATAGTAGGAGCTTATACCAAAAAACTTATATTGAAAATGGGAGATAATTAAAACTTACTTTAGATAAAGCAGCTGAGATTGTAGGAGTGCCTAGAAAAACTTTAGAGGATTATTATTATTAATTGAAGAGAGCAGAGACTTTAGGTATGACTTTATAATATTTTTTTAGTTGATCTTTAGAATTTTAAGAATTGCAAAATAGGAGTGATTCGAAGAATTGTTAAAGAGAGCAAAAAGTAATCATAAAAAATAACTCATTTAATTGATACAAATGAATTCTTTTTATAAGAAAATCAAACAAATTACTATAGAAAAAACAGTTTTGAATATGATGATTGATTTTACTAAAAAGTGTGTTGACTAGAAACTTTAATGATTATAAATGTCATTTAAATAATATAACTTATCTACCAGTATAATTTCTAATTCTTTTCTCATTGAAGTTTTAAATGATCAATAATATTGTGTTTGTTGAAATATTAAATTTTTATTACACTTAAAATGACATTATAAAGTTCACAAAAAGATATAATTTATTTCTATGATATACATTTTTTAATTGAGATTTCACTCTGATATATATATAATAAGATGATATTATTTTGTTTAAATTCATAATTTAATTGATTCTGATTTAATAATTAATTTTCTCTAATTTAGTAATGTTTATTCTAAAATTTATATTAAAAAACAATATAATTTATTAATTTTATTAAATGATTTTAATGCATCTAATCGATAATAAACTTAAATAAATCTAATAAGGTTTATGAATATTTAAAATAAAATTCATGATTTTCAGAATTCAATAATTAATAATGATAATTTTGAAAGATGGATTTTATAATTTTAATATAAAAATAGATAGATTCGAATATTATATGAGATATATAAATTTATTAAAAAGAGAATCCTAAGAAATCCAATTATTTTTCATATTCTCTAATTTATTAAAGTTAAATAGATAATAATTAATTCTTAAGTTAGATTTGTAAAATATATAAAATTATAAGTTAATGAAAAAAATAAGTTCAATAGGTAATTAATATTCATATTAAGAATTCAGTTGATTATCCTCCTTTTGAATTTACTGGGAAAAGAATACCAATAACAGCTCTAATCTGTAATGAACCTTCTTTAAAAAAAGAGACAAAACCAAATTATAATTTTTTGATCTTCTCAAATTAATGTGGGTTAAAAAGATCAAAATCTACTCCTCCTTCTTTGAGAGAGTTATTAACTGATACATTTACAATTAATCTCACAGAAAGGACATTACCATCAAAAAAAATTTCGATTTTACTTCCATTCAAAAATGCTGTAGAAAAGATTAGATCTAACAATAGAGAAATCATTACTAGAAGGAAATCTTGTTATGGATCTTTATTTGGAGTAAATTAATAAAAATAGATGATAAATTTTCCTACTTCTATTGAAATGCATAAGAAAATTAATGGAAAAGAATTCGCTCTCTCAAGCTTTGCTGAAATATTAAAAAAAAATCAAAGGAAAAGCACAAAGCGTCCAAGTCTTGCTCGTAAACTCTCGAAATAGATGAGCTTAATTGGTAAAGTTTATAAATGATATATTAAGAATATGATAATATGGAAAGACCTCCATCATGTAAAACTCCTAGGGAAACAAAGATTATTTCATTTAAAAAGAAGAATTCGACAACTTTAATTAAGGAGAAATATATACAAGAATAAAAATTAAAATTGTTTCATTTCATGAATGATTCTTAGTCTAGAAAAATATAATTAAATTCATTGCCCTTTAGAAATTCAATAAAACCTAGAGGAGATACAATGAAATTAAAAACATGCATGACAGAATTACTCAGTACATAAAGAAGTCCAACATCAAGTTATAGAACTACTACTTATTCCAGACCTTATTAAAAGTAGAATGAATTACTCTCAAAATTAATAAAAACTGAACACAAAAGTAGATCTCACTACTTTCCTAAATCAACTATTAATGCATTCGGCTATTGAATTTATATGAAATTTTTCCTATTAATTTACAGTTAAAATTTAAAATAAAAAATAATATGTAAGACTATAGAGGCAATTTCAAAAGAATTGAATTTGGAATTTAATAGACTCCAGTTAAATCTATAAACAATATGAATGATTTTTAGTCTTCATAAAAATTAAAATATGAGCAAGTGAGCAATAAACCTTAATCAGTGAATGTTAGCTTTGTTAATGCTCCTGTTACAATGGTATCAAAAGAGTTATTTACATTATAAATACCAGTTAAAGTTAAATAATTGACTGATGATTGGAATACATAATTAACTTTGAAAATGATTATGCAATCAAGTTAATAAGCACATGGATAAACATTAAGAATTGAATTGACAGATGATACTAACTTTTCATTTCTATAAATATTGGATTTAAATGAAAGTGAATTTTTGGCATTAAAAAATGAATAAAGTTTACATGTAGATTTTGCTACATTTCCAATGAAATTAGCAGATTTATTATAATTATGCATAAATAGTTAGAGAGATGAAAAAGTGAAGTATATATTAAAGAGAATATTGTAGTTTCTATGTTTGTTTGGAAACAAAGAATGGTGAATCAACATTAGCAGTAATTGAAAATAATGAATTTAAGAAATTAACTCATTTATCTTTGAGATTAAGAAGTGCAACAGATGATATACTTAAATACTTTTTAGCAAATAAATTGGCAATAGAAAAATAAGAGAATGAAGAATTCTAAAAGAAAACTAAAAAATTGACAGAATAATTAGAAGAGAAATAATAGGAATTAGAGAATTTGAAATCTGAAGTAAGAAAATTTACAGAAGAAAATAATGCTGTTTTACAATAAATGTAATTAGATGAATAAAAGAAATTAAATGATTTTAGAGAATAAGCTTTAATTAAGGAAACTAATTTTAAAAGAGAAAGTGAAAATGAAAAACAATTTATAATTGAAAAATATGAAATAATTGTTTAAGAATTATAAAATAAATACACTTAATTGCAATAAATAAATTAAGAATTATCAGAATAAAAAATTCAACTTACTTAATCAGAAAAAGAGTTAAAAAATAGATTTTAAATAATTTTATAAGAATCTTAATAATTATAGAAGGAAAATTAAGAATTTAGAATATTAAATAAAGAATTGGATACACTTAAATTTACTTAAGAAAGATAAATAATAGAGTTAAGAATATAAAAGGAAGGATTAGAAAAATAATTACATGATAAGGAAGATTTCTTAAACAATAAATAATAATTAGTAGACAATGAAAAAAAATAAAATGTAATTTATTTATATTAATTAATTAGGTTATTTTAGAGGAATAAGTAAATAATTAAAAAAAATAAATTGAAAAATTAGAATAAAGAATAGCTGTTATGAGTGATGAAGTCAATAAAGGAAATTAAATTATTGAAAAATTAGAGAATGAATTAAGTAAATAAAAAGAAAAGAATAAATTAAAGAATACTGTTGTTCTTTAATAAGAATAAACTGTATAATAATTATAAGATGCAAATGATTAAAGCAACAAATAAATTAATGAATGTATTAATATATATATATTTATTATAGTGAGAAGAGAGAAAGATAGTTTAGAATTGAAATATAAAGATTAAGAAAATACTAATTTAGATTTGAAAAATAAATTGGCAGAAAGTTAAAAATTACTTGAATCCAATAATCAAATGATATAGTATTTAAATAAATGTTTGAATGAAACTAAAGTTTAAGCACCTGCTTAAATGCCAGGTTTTTCAACATTAAAAAGTCAAACTTTTACAAAATATACTTCTCCTATACCATTATAAGAGGATGTATTAATTTATATTAATATTTTTAGAGAAGCTTTAGAAATTAAAGTGTTACATATTAATAAAATCAAAATAATATATCTTAGATATCAAATGCTACAATATAAAACAAATTTAATTTCTGAAGATTATTATAACCTAAATTTATGAAAACAAACTTCTATATATACTTATTATTTTTAATTGTTATATATATTTTAAATTCAGATCCTAAATTATTTTTCCATTATTTAGATATATATTAATATAAATTATAGTTAAATTATATAATGGATTAAGGTACCTTTAAAGCACCAAAAGTAAAATTAACTGATTATGAAATCCTTTAAACTTTGGGAACAGGTTCTTTTGGAAGAGTGAGATTAGCAAAACATAAATAAAATGGTGAATATGTAGCTCTAAAAATGCTAAAAAAAGCAGAAATATTAAGACTTAAGTAAGTAGATCACATCATATCAGAGAATACTATTCTTTCTAATATTAGCCATCCATTTTTAGTATGATTTCATTATAAATTAGATAAAAATGCTTGGATTTACTTAAGATGAAAGATATCTCTATTTTCTTTTAGAATATGTTTAAGGAGGAGAATTATTTACATATCTTAGAAATAAGGGTAAACTGGAAAATGAAGAAGCTCAGTAATTATATAAATAAATTAGATTTTATGCATCTCAAGTTGTTTTGATGTTTGAATATCTCCATACAAAAAATATTGTTTATAGAGATCTTAAACCTGAAAATCTTCTCATTGGATCAGATGGTTATCTCAAATTAACTGATTTTGGATTTGCTAAATTTATTGATTCTAGAACATACACTCTTTGTGGAACACCAGAATATTTAGCACCAGAAATTCTACTCAATAAAGGTAAAAATAAAATTCATTAATATAAGGACATGGAAAACCAGTTGATTGGTGGTGTTTGGGAATATTAATATATGAAATGTTAGCTGGAATAGATCCATTTAATGATGAAGATCCTATGGCAATATATTAGAAAATATTAAAAGGTAAAGTGAAGTTTCCAAGAAATTTCGACAAGTACATATATATATATATATATAAATAGGGAAGCAAAAAGTCTAGTCAAACATTTATTAGTAGCAGATTTGACTAAAAGATATGGAAATTTAAAAGGAGGAGCTAATGACATAAAAACTCACAGATGGTTTTAAAGTTTAGATTGGGAATTTTTAATTTAAAAAAAATTACAGCCAAAATATAAGCCTGTTGTAAAGTATATATATTATATATACTTTAAAGAAATAAGGGTGATACTTCAAACTATTCCACATATCCTGATAGTACAGAATTACCTAAACCTGTAAAACCAACTGATGATCCATTTATTAATTGGTGATAATCCATTATTATATTAAAAATAAATACTATAAATATTTATTCCCATTAATTGAATGAAACATATATTAAATCTAAAGTAATATTTATAATTCAAAATTATTAATTTTATTACTACTTATCTCTATTTAAACATCCTAAAGCTTAAAATACTCTATCCATAAATCCAAGATCACTATTATTTTGTCTTATTGAACCAATTTCTCTTTATTATAATGCTAATTATTGTCTTTAAGAAACCCTACTAACTCTAGACTTTATTTCATCCTCTTGAGAATACTAAAATTAAATGATTTTAATACAGTTGAAATAGATGTAGATGTTCCAGTAGTTGGTTAATTTAGAACTTTATAATTTTAAACTACAGAATTATTTTATGTAATCGAAAGTGTTTGCTATATTCGAGGATGATTTAATTCATGAGATGATTTGTGTTAAGGCAATGTAAAATTTCTATTTTAAAAAATAAATATTTAAATATTACTTTATTTTTAATTATTCCTAAACTGGAGATAAAGATCTATTATCAATTTTTTCTTCTTTATTTAAATATTAATTTAAATCAATTCCATAAATTTCATAGTTTTTCTTCATAAATGGATGTTCAAATATTTGAAATAAAGAAAGTCTGTCTTCTGGATTAAATTTAAGAATATTGCAAATAAGATCTTTAAGTTCAAAAGAACAATTTTGATTAAACTCTATTTTTTATAAATTTATTATATTTTGACATATTTCTTGATTAGTTTTTCCTTTAAATGGTGCATATCCATGAATTAATTCATATAATAATATTCCTAAACACCAAATATCTAATTTAAAATCATAAGGTTTATTAAGTAACATTTCTGGAGCCATATAATCTACAGTACCACAAAAAGTTGTTCTTTTTGACTATTAATTGGTTTCAGCTGACCAACCAAAATCACATACTTTTATATTTCCTTATTTATCCAATAATAAATTTTCTGGTTTTAAATCTCTATGTAATATATTCTTCTTATGTAAATATTCAATTCCTAAACAAGTTTAAAAAAAATAAACAAAGGCTTCTTTTTCTGGTAACCTTTTTCTTTTTCTTATATATAAAAATAAACTCCCATTTTCTGCTAATTCTAAAATCAAATAGACATTCTCTTTATCTTCAAAATAATGATATAATCTAACAATGTGAGGATGAACTAATCTTCTTTAAATTTTAATTTCTCTTTTTAGATTTTCTATTGACCAATACTCAAATATTCTTTTTTTATTTAACTATTTTTATATTACATCTAATTACAATTTTCATAGCATATAATTAACCATTTTATCTATCTTTTACTAATTTGACTTAACCATAACTACCTCTTCCTAATTCAGATTTCCCATCTTTAACTATAATTTCGAAATCATCAATATTTTTGCCAATAGATTTAAGTGTAGATTAAGTATCATTTATATCTGTTTATTTCATTTATTTTCCTTTACAATTTAATTTATGTGATATAGTCCTAAAATTAACAACATTTTAATACCAATCAAGATCCTTACATCTTTATGAACAATATTTAATTTAGTAACATAAAAGACATTAAATAACACCATCGGATTAGGCTTTATTGGATAAACCACAATATTTATAAGAGCAAAGCATGAATTTTAATATTATTAATAAATGAACTTTAAAATAACGCCTAAACATATATCTCATTTGAAGAGGCTGCTTTATCCTAATTAAGCCAGTTTAGATTAACTTTACTGAGGTGATTAAATATTATTTTATTTATTGATTCCAAGTTATCTTAATATGTAAGGATTCTAAATTTAATTTGGATTTGGATTAGTTAATGGATTATAAACCTAAGACTATTAGAAATTTAAATTTTCAACCATTTTATCCTATTGATTTTATCCATTTCCCTTTAAATATAATATATCTTTACCAGATTAGTTAATTAATCGTAATATTGAGATTGATAATCTCTTTTTTTTCTCTTTTCCTATTATTGTTCATCATTATATATTTCAGCTGCTTTTCTTATTTCTTATTTATTTTAATTTGCTAAAACATCTTGATCTTTTCTTCTCTATTCTTTCTCTTTTACTTATTAAGATAATGTATTTAAATATTAATCTTTAAGATTTTTATCATTCTATCTTTTAGTAATTATTTCCTCTTATTCTCTTTCTATCTTTTCTTTAACTTGTCTATTTATAATAAAATCTAAAGAGGATTTAGGATCATCTACATTTTTTCTATAAATATCCTATAAATGTTCATTTCTTTCAGCTAATCTTTAATAATACTAATGATAATGTAGATGAATACTTTTTTATAATCTTCCTCTTATTAAATAATTCTTTGTTAATCTTTGATTGCATATTCTTAAAATAATATTCTCTCTTAATCTCTATTTAATCTCTCTTTCTACTTTTTTTCTTCTATAAGTTTCATTTATTCATCATAAATTTACTTTTGCATTTATTTTTTTTAGAGTTAATTCTATCTTTCCTCTTAAAGAGCTTTTTAAGCACTATCAATAATTTGATTTTCAATGTTTAAATCTTCATTTCTCTAATAAAAATAATTATATTTTTTTACTTTTTAATTTACAATTAAGTTTCTTTAATCAATAATTTCTGAATATTTTTTAGATAAAGACTCTTTTGTTTAAATCTTCTTTTATTTTTATTGATCTGCTAATTCTTTATTTAATGTTTAAATTTTCTAAATTTCATCATTATCTTCTTTTTATCTTAATTCTTAATTTCTTCTTTTCATTTCCTCTTATATTTATCTTTGTTCTTCAAGTGAAATCTTCATTACTTCTTATTTCATTTATTTTATTTAGAATTGTTCTTATTTGATTGTTTTGTGAATGTTGTATTATTAAAAATCATCATAATTTTATTTAGATAATAACATTTATTAATGAAGTAAAAATTTTGTTATAAAATTAATATATGAAATTCAATATAACCAAATAATTTGAAGAAGTACATATTTTTCATAATTTAGAATGATGATATACCATTTAAGAGATCAATAGAAACATTATAAATTAAACAGGATAGCTTTGTTTAATTTTGTAATTTTGATTGGATTGCTATACAAAAAGACTCTGATTTAACACTTTATAAAGATGGATTATAAAATGTATCTCTCAATTTATTATATTAGGCTAATGAAATTGATCTCACTTAATTGTTTGGTAAAACACAATGTGGCAAAGTATAAATTTACTTTTTTTAATTTGCCAATGAATAATTTGATTAAAAACAAATGATCTTAATTGGAAATAGTAATTTATCCTCTCTAATTAAAAGATATTATTATTGGCTATGACGTATTAGAATAATCAAAAACCTGTAAAATATATATGAATGATGATTACAAAGTCAAAAGGAAATTATAATTTTCAGAAGTCCAAATACTTGAATAAGACTCAAATTTATACATTCTTACAGATCATTTCGATCTAGTTACATTAAATCTATCTAATAAAGAAAATAGATTCAATTACCAACCTCTATTAAAGAAAGGAAATTTTATCACTAATTTACTATTTTAAAATAATTTAGATTTTTATATCCCAGGAGCTACTTTTAAGTTTTCAGTCTTTGAAGATACACTTCTTATAGTTTAGAAAACATCAGGAAATTAAATAAAATCATATTAATGTAGTTTAAACCCTTACAATTTAATTGTATATATTTCTATAAAATCTTCTAGTCCTAATCACAAAGAAATTTTGTTTGCGATGTAACTAATTTGAATTGTTAAGTTACTATTAATAATTTTCATTTATTTAAAACTTCTAAAGGAATTAATTTAATATTTTTAGCTATCATTGAAAATAAAGATTAAATTGATAGACTTAGTTAACTTAAGTTAATTACTAAAGAGATGGAAATTACAGATCCAAAAACTGATTTTACTAATCTAGATAAACTAATATATGCTGATTTGAACGAATTATAATTATAAGGAAATAAACTTAATTCATTTTTCTTTTAAAATGATAAAGATCTTGTTCTCTTATATTCAGTATTAGATACTAATTATTATCATAACAATTTAAATAATTTTCTTAAAGAACATAAACTTTTCAATGGAAATCTCTAAAGTGTTGGAATTTCAGTAAATAATGGATTATCTTAATTGAAGGTTTGTTCTAATGGGAAAATATATATACTTGAAGAGAATTATCGATAAAGCCCTAAACAATTGTAAAATTATTAGAATTATCATTTTTTATAGAATTACTCATTTTTAAGGAAGATGTATGAATGATATTATTTTTAATTTATTAAAAGAAGGCTTTAAAGATTTCTGTACTCACTCAAATACAAATTCAGCATTCTTAAAATTAGAATTTTAAGCATTTTAAGAATAACTTATATGTTAAGTGATTAATTAAATAGTATGGGATTTTATGGAAACTCCAATATCAAAATACTCAGATGTTTAAATTTAATTGAAAGAAAACTAAAAAAAATTAGAACAATGGAAATAATACACAAAAACAGTAGTTAAAAATTAATAAATTATATTAAACTTAATTAGGTCTAAAATATGTTTAAGTGTTGGTGAATATATTAGTAAAAATGAAAATAGTTTATAATAATTAATATAAGACTGTTTAAATTAATGGCTATTATTCTCTTAATATGAATAATAATTTTATTCAAAATTAGATGATCTTACAACAATACTAGAATAACTTTTAAAATTAGAGGGTAAGGAATATCATTTGTTTAACATTTTAATTATTATATACACTAGTATTAATGAAGCAAAAGAAATTAATAACATATAATTTCCTAAGTTTTGGACTAATGAACCAGAATGGTTAAGATTAATCATTAGATCATTACCTAAATTGAAATAATTGCCATAAATAGATTTTTTTTCATTATTTAAGTTTATAATAACAGACATTTCTACTGTGTTTTAATTTGAAAGAAAAATATCTAATTTATAATTTTAAGTCATTTAAGTTTTCTCAAATTTAATTTCAGAATAAGAATTTTAAGATATTTTAATAGAAAATTAATTATATGATATTTTATTTTAATGCTATTTATAAACTAATTTAAAATTAGACAGAATATTTGATTTAATTTCTTTAAATGAAGAATTGTGTTAAAATTTTATTGATTTATGTTTAGAGCATGAAAATCAAAATATATATCAAGATTAACATGATTTAAATAGATCAAATTATAAGGATTAAAAAAAAAGATTGTATTAAATTTTAGATTAAATTGAAGAAAAGAGTAATAAATTATATAATAATTAGATTGTGTTGATCAAGTATTACAATGTTTAACAAAATATCCAAAACTTTATAATATTCTATTAATTCGATCAACAAGATTGGAAGAGATTATTAACATTCCTTTTATATCCTAAGGAAATGATCCAAATACTAAATATTATAGTTTTCTAGTAGATACAGGATGTCATATAGTAGAAAGATAAAAATCATAAATAGATATTGAATAATGAAATTTGTTTAAGTTAATAATTTATAATTATTTTATATTATATTATTAAATACTTATAATAAAATACTTAATTATATAATTAAGTTTAGATTATAATATTCATTAATTGATTCAATAAATAGTTGTTTATTTCATGATGCTAAGGAATTCATCTATATTAATTTATCCATCACCATCTTTATCAAATTCATCTATCATAGCTTATAATTCTTAATCACTCAAAGTTTCTCCTAATTCTTTTGATACTTTCTTTAATTTTCTTAAAGTAATCTTACCTGAATTATCATCATCAAATAATTTAAATGCTCTAAATATTTCATCTTAAGGATCTCTTTCACAATATTTTCTAGTCACTAAAATTTGAATTATTCATATTACTTAATTCTATATAATCACTATATTCAATACGACCAGTTTCATCACGATCATATTCTTTCATCAATGCTTATACTTCTTATTTTTTAACTTCAAATCCTAATGCTCTAAGAATAACTTTAATTTCATGACAATCTATTGCTCCAGAACGATCAGTATCAAATAAATCAAAAGCCTCTTTAATTTCTTATTTCTAATCATCAGTCAATTCACTTTTGACCTTCTTTTTTTATGTTACTTATGTCTTTTATTATTATTTTTTAAATGAAGCCATGATTTATTAAAATTTAACTATATAATTTAAAAATAAATGATTAATTGATGTATTTATGTTTATATAATCTAAATACATATAAATGACACTCAATCAAACCACACTTATTTTATATATGTTTGTATATTCACAATAAATTTAAAAAGTAAATAAATTAAAGATTTTAAATATTATTTGAAATGACAAAGAAGACAAAGAAGGTTGGAATCACAGGAAAATATGGAACCAGATATGGTGCTTCATTAAGAAAGATTATCAAGAAATTCGAAATTTCCCAACATCAAAGATATTTCAATACTTTCACAGGAGCTGTATTAAATGAAATTATCTATATTTTAGCATTCATTAAGAAGATAAGCTATTGGTATATGGAGATGCACTTAAACAGGCTTATAAATTGCTGGTGGAGCTTGGGAAGTCAAGTATTAAATATATGCTATTAATTTAGCACTCCTGCTGGATTGTCTGCAAAATAAGGTATGTTGAGAATCAAAAAATTGAAAGACGATGCTGAAGTGGAAGTTAAAGAAGAAAAGAAAGAAAAGAAATAATAACCTAAAGAAGAAAAACCTAAAGAATAGCCAAAAGAAACTAAGAAACCTTAAACCAAGAAACCATAAGCAAAGAAATAATGATCACGTATATTAATTACATAAAATATAATAAGTATACAACATACAACATATATTAAACTAAAATATTCAAACAATCATCATCTAAAACTTCAATCATATTACTTAGTATAACACTAAATCACACAGTTATTCATCATAATTACAAAATCAATCTTAAAGATATAAACTTAATTGATTATTAATAATGAAATAAAAACTATATTAAAATAATAATTATATATGGTTCTAATAAATGGAATAATACAAGGAAAGTAGTATTCTATTAATTTATTTTATACTTAAATATGATAAAGTTAAAATTCTTTGTTTATTATTTAGAAATAAATATACATTTAAATTGAATTCTTATTATTATATAAATATAATAATGTAGAATAAATTGTGCAAAAGAACAATTAAATAATAGAAATATAATTAATATTGAATTCGAATGATTGTATATCTAATAAATAAATATAATTATCATGTATGAGCATCAATAATTATATATATATTTATATACAAAAAATTATTAAAATTCTTCACTCAAAAATTAAATTATATAAAATAATGTATAAATTAATATCTAATTTTGCTAAAAGTTTATCCACTCAAGTCCCTATTTATTCATATCATTTTCCTAATGGTTCAGTTTATAACAATGTAATAAAGAATTAATATCAAAGCCAGCTGTTACAGCAAAAAGAATTATAAAAGTGGTTGGAGAACGATTGAGAAAGATTGATCCAGAAAGAGTATAAAAATATAATAAAATTAGTGGGAATCAACTCCAATCACATTTAATACTAATTGGAATGATGCTGCTGGTTATGTTGATGTTGCAACATGCATTCATATTCATGATGCATTAGAAAAAGAATTTGGAATCGAAATTAAAGATAGAGCATTTCTGGTGTCAAGTATTGAAACAGCATTCTACATTGTTAATATACATCATGATAGTCATTGAGAATTATAAGATAATGAAATAATAATAAATATTATAAATAATAGTATTAAAATTATATATTAAATATCAAACAATCCTTTAGAACTGATAGTATAGTAATATATTTTGTTAATTTGAACTCTTATTCTTTAGTTAGAGAATAATTACAGGAAATACTTTATTCTAAAAATATATAAAATTATGAAAATCATTCCTTATAAAAATATCTATCTAGTTTCCTTTGATACTATGTATGAAATCATAAAAAGATCCAATATTGTAAGAGTATTAAATGATTTATTGGAATCCTAGTTCTAATATTCTTATTTTCTATAAAATTATGAGTTTAGGATTAGAATCACAATCGCTGTTACTAATTTTATAATCATGTTTAAATGTATTAATAAACAATAAACTAGTTATAAATTCAACAAATACATTTATGAATGATTTATAAATTGTTAATTAAAAAGCTTAAAATTAAGTAAAATATTTAGGTTACGAAAAAGTTAAATCTCTTTTTGAAATGGTAATTATTAATAATATTTTTATTATTACCCATGATCTTAAACAGAATTTTCGTATTTAAATAATTTTTTAGCCAATTTTATAAAAGAAGAGTTTATTGTTATATTTTTTGTGAGATAGCTATAATTTGATAGTATTTAAAATAAAAATAGGATAATAGTAGTATAATTAGAATGTTGAATAACATAGATATGTTAATTATAAAATGAAATCTAAATTTGATTAAAGCTTTGGATTTATTGATAAAATAAAAGAAACTTAATTACTAAAAGGACTTTGATTGATTATATAAGATTGATAATATTATAAATTGTATTTTATGATATATAAATAAGTTAATATAAAATTAGGTTGAGATCACTATTTAAATGAACATTTGATCCCCCTTTATTTTCATTTATAAAAGGGGGTAATATTATATATAAATAGACTAAATGGATTAAAAAACTAAAGTCGAAGTATTTTAATAAATTTATTAAGTAGGCTGATCAATGTGATCAATACAATAAATATTTTCAACTGAGTAAGCCTTTATGGTTGAGTTAAATTATTAAAATTCGATTAAACTAACCTCGCTAAGACGAACGTAGATATCATTCAGAAAAACTTATACAAGTACTATATTTAATTAAAAGTTATTTAGTAAGCTAAATTATTCAACATAAAAAAATGGTAAGAGATGGGGGATAAAGAAGTATGATATTAAATGTCATATACAGGACATTTGATCAAAGCGATTCAATTATAAGAGGGGAATGCAACTTTAAATAATGTAACAGAACCTTATCTTCCATTTTTGAGAAAGTAGAATGGAAAGAATTTTACAGGATTGGCAACTAGAACTGTGAAAGGTTGTTTGTCTGCTGTTGTTTTTAAAAGAAATGATGAATCAACTTGGTCAGTAGATGAAACAAAAGTAGAAGAATTCATTAGATAGGCAAATAGAAAATTATATTAATTCTTAGAGAAACTAAAGAAAAATTTTCTTATTTATGATTATATCAAAATGGAAAGTTATGATAAAAAAATAAAAAAAAGAAATAAAATGGAATAGAAAAGAAATGAGGATTAATTTATTGAAAAATTTTTACCTTACTTAAATTAAAAATTAGATTCTCAATATAATATTAAAATTGAGAATCATTATTAGAATTTTGATTAAAATGGGAATTCTAAATTAAATTTTAACTGGCATTATTCTATAAGTGACAATATATTTAGAAATTTATATTTTTTGAGATAAGGAGAGAAAATAGATGATTAATTTTTAGGTAATTTGATAGGTTTCTACAATATAAAAGATTAATTAGAAAGAATGAAAGAATGCTAAAGATTTATTGATTGATATAATAAATATGTATTAAATATTATAATTAAAATGGGAAATAATCAAAATAATAATAATAATACAGCTAATCATTAAAGTGTGCAACATTTAACTAATGATCCTAATTATTAATAAGTGCTTAGAGATTTATATTAAAATAATCCATAATAAATAATATAGGATTTTCCATAATATCTATAAAATTAAGATTAACATCCAGCTAGATTTAAACATAATGTAGAAGTCAAGAAAGTTGTTCCAAAATAAAATAATACTTATATTAAAAAAGATTCATTTAAATTGGTATATATAGAATATATATAATATCAGACATAAATTGATGCTAGCACTTATTAAATAGAATTTGTTTTCGAATGTTCAGAGCCTATGACACTTAAAATTCATTTATTAGCTGTTGAAACAATTAATAATGAATTTATAACATAAAAAATTAATGCCTTTTAATAAAAGACATACAATTTTGAACCAGTTTCAGGATATAAATTTGATTAGTTTTAATTTGATATACGATAAATAAAACTAGAAGATTTAGAATATACAAATTAAGAAAAACGATAATATCCATTAATAATTGAGATGGTAATAATCTAATAATAAATATAGGAAACATAAGAAAAATAATTATTTTAATACTGTTTTTTCAAGTTGAATTAAAATGAAATATAATTATAAACATTTGAGATTAAAATGTAAAAGAATGGAAAAGCTTTTAGTGTAAGAGATGTTTATGGAGGATAAAAAGATTAAGATAAAGATTGTGTTATATGTTTAAGTAATAAAGTAAATACATTAATTTTACCATGCAAACATATGAGTTTATGTTAAACTTGTTGTTAAGGATTAAAAGAAAGAAGTTCTAAATGTCCAATATGTAGAAATAGAATAAGTAGCTTTAGAATAATTATGAGAGGACAATGAAAATAATTAATTATACCAAAATCATTTTTTTTACTTTTATTTCTATAACTTTTATATAGCATTTAATGCTTCTTTTTATTTTTTTTCTGCTTCCTCATCATTTTTTTGAGATTATTATTATTATTATTATTATTATTAAGATTATTATTATGAACTTTATATTTATGAAAGTCTTTTTATATGATCCTCAGCATAATAATACATTTCAGTTTAATTTTATTGAATTTAAAATTTTGAACCTTTCTTTTTATGTACTTTAAATCCAAATATTTTGGATACATATTCATTTGCTGGTTAAGTAGGATTTAATTCTGAAAATACAGATAAAAATATATGAGGGAATACAGAACCAAAAAATGAACCATCAACATCACTCATTTACTTTTTAGGAGAATAAACATCCTAACATCTTGGACAAAATATCTAGATTTTATTTAATAATATTTTACTTTAACTCGAGAAGTTCTTAAATCATGACTTAAACCTATTGGTAATACATTTTATCTCTCACATAAAACTCTAGGACATACTCCAAATCTTCCTTATAAATATTTTGATTTCATTAATGTTAAACCCTATGGAGTAATAATAAATCTAGCATGTAATAAACCATATAATTCTGATGCTTCATTATAGAGTTCTAAAAATCTTAATTATAATTTTTCATTTAATACTAATCATCCTCTAAATCTTCATCTGTTGGTGTATTTGGAGATAAAATCATTTATAATGCTTCTCTAATATATTACTTTATATTGATGTTACTCAAAATGATCAAATAACTATTTCAATCCATAAAGATTAAATTAGTCTGCTATAAAAAATTCATCTATCTCACAAAAAAAGTGATGGTCTTCTAAATTGCAATACCATTTAATCCATCCATTCTCATTTACGGATATATCTAATATTTATGAAAATGAAACATTTACTGCTTTAAGACATTTTGAATTTAAAATTAATAATAAATAAACATTCATCTATAATAAATAACTAGATTATCAATTCCAAAACTAGCTTCACAAGTACTTTTTGATGTTAAACCTTAAACTTATAAATTTAATTCATTATGAGTATGATCAAATATTTTCATAATAGGACTAATCTTTATATTAAATTAATAATACATATTAATTTAATCTCCAAATCTAGAACTTCCACAAAAATTATTATGATGAACAGTATTTTCAAATTTATTCTTCCAAACTAATAATAATATTTTTATTATTATACTAATTTATTCATCTGCTCTCATAATAATTTATTCTGATTCCCATTAATCAAATACGTGTAATGCTAATTCAACTTTTATTTGAGTATGTTAAGGTAAAGTATTGAATTTTTTGCTTAAAGTTTGATTTGTATGTTCACAATAACCACCAAAAAAATGACCATCTCTCAAATTTTCACATTTACTATTAGATTAATCATTAAAATCTAAATGATGCAATAATTCCCACTAAACTAGAATAGTTAATTTATATACTTTCTTATAATAAAACTTTCTATTTTTTCTCTTATGTTTTCATTTTATACACAGATATCGAACCATTAATAACTAATGGTCTACCTTCTTTTTTTGATTTTAGAGTTCCTACTTTAAGTAATTTAGTTTTCAAAACCTATGCTTCTAATTTTTTCGTTTTTAAATTTTTAGCCTATTTTTCTTTTATTATTAAATACTTCTATTCCTCCTTTACTCAAAATTTCACCAAACATACAATTCTTTCTAGCCCAAACTCTTCCACTTACGGTTATTGGTGATTTCATTTCACTTATACTTTTATTCTTTTTTGACTTCTTTGGTTTACCTTTTTCCTTAGCTTTAAAATAAAATTAATTTGGTTATTAATACATTCAAGAGCTACAATAAATAAAATGTAGAGGATTAGAATAAATAGGAGTAAATGCTTCATTAATTTATAAAATATATATAAATATAAGCAAATATCCGATTCTTGAAGAGAGATTTATTTCTGGTGAAATACATAGATTTTATCAAATTGATAGGATTTAAATATCGATTAATTGATTTTTACTAAAAAATATATTATATTTTAACAATTTATGAACACTAGAACTCCTATTCCAACATTCATATTGAAAACTTATTAAATGCTAGAAGTATAATCTATAGAATATTTTTTAAGGAACAAAACCATTCTAATATAGTAAGTTGGACTGCTTAAGGCACTGCCTTTATAGTTTATAATCAATAGTAAATGGAGAAATAAGTTTTATAAAATTTCTTTAAGCATAGTAATTATTCAAGTTTTGTAAGGTATTGAATTGTATTAATTGATTTTAGATAGCTAAATTTATATAATTTCAAGAAAGTTCGATCAAATGAAGGATAAATCTTTAAGCATAAATGTTTTAGAAAAGGAATGAAGTATTTCTATATTTTTAACTTTAAAAGATCAATGTTATAATTTATAAAAAGAAGAAATTAAGAAGATCTTATTACTCCTGCTATTTAAGAAGAACCAAGTATCTAATTATTCATTATTTTGATAGCAATTTAAGTTAAGGAAGAACAGAACTTATTTAAAGAATGTGCTATTGATATAAAAGAGACAAATAATAAGTTAAAAGAAGATATGAAACTATTATAAGAAACATCTTCATATCTAATTGATTAAATGCAGAATTTAAATCATGTAAGAAATTATTAATATAATCAGTTTGTTTACAATTAAAGTGTAGACATTGAAGTCAAATTTAAATAAGTTGGTTAAATGCTTCATGCAATAAATGAAGAATTAAGATAAGAAAGTATTATTATTATTTTAAATATCTTTAGATAAAAGTGAAACATAAACCAACAAATTTTTAGGAGAATATAAATCAATTAAAGATGATCAATTTTAAGAATCAAAAATTGGATCACCGAATCCATATGTAGATTATAATAGTACAGCACTTAATCCATTGGATTATGAGTGTTTCATAGACTCTTTTTTATGATCATCTTATAAAACTTAAATTATATTTATAAATTTAATAATAAATAATTACTCAAACTTATCCATTTATATCCTTATCTTTGAAATAATTATAAACAATATAGATTTATGATAAACTTATTACAATAAGTACTCCAACTTTAATAACAGCACACCATTAAACTGATTTTTCTGTTTAATCTAATATTATAGCATGTGCATTCTCTCTGTCTGACATCCAATGTTAATTTCTGTAAATATTTTAGAAATTCTTTTATGTTTTTTATAATTCTTTAGACATATATTCGAATTACTCAGTTTATGCATATTCTTTATCAACCCCTTCAATATCAAAGTCAAAACTCACCATTTTATAGCTTTTATCTCTACTTTGAAAGCAAACATAATAATTATCTTTATCTTTTAAAATTTCTCTGATTTTTCCATCCTTTGTATTTTGTACTTTTATTAAAATTTCTCCATCTTTTTTTCTAATAAATACATCAGTCTAAATTTCATCTAAACCAGAAACAATATAATTAACAGTCAAATTTGAATTTTCTTCTGGTGAATTTACTAAAAAGCAAGTTGGCTTTTATGAAAGCTATGTTGACAATGACGATCCTAATACTATTAAAGTTGATATAAATAATAAATATTTCATATTTTTTTTATTTCAATTAATGTATTAAAGATATTTTTGATATCATTTCAAAATGAAGCTTCATCATTAAAATTTTATATTCCTATTCTAAAATAGATATATATATAAATTATATATATTCATATAAATTACTAATTCAAACTATATAATAATTATGAGCTTACTAAAAGAATAAAATAAATTAATATACTCTTGAATTTATTTGTTGTTAGAACATATTTAAAATAGAAATTTAATGGATTTGATAATATCATAAATGCTATATATAAATAATATTTATTATTTTATTTGATATTTTGTTAACTTTTGAAGTAAAATGATAAAGGAAATATAATCTATCGATTTCATTTATAATTTCATATTTGAAATAAAATAGAATGATTTTAATCTGTTGTTTTTTAATCAAACTTAATGCTTTTCAGATGTAAAAAGAATTTTACTTAATAATTTTATTTAATATGAACTAACTATATTATAGGAATGTAAACATTTTTAATATTCATCATACATTACAATGTTAACATTTTAAATAAAGGATTAAACCTATTTATGAATTAGTAGATTATATATTCAAATTAGAGAAAGAGTTATTTATAAATTCATTTTTATATTGTTAACTCTATTTATTATCAGATGTAACTAACTATTAATTAATACACAAACTAATCTCAGCTATAATATACCTACTTTAGAATTATATAAATAAATAAATCACAAAATCTAAACGAATTTAATCAAATTCTAATATTGATACTAAAAATAGTAGAAATTAGATACACTTAATTCCTCTTGATATTCATACATATTATATATATTTTCTCAAGCTTTTTTAGTAAAATAATAGAATTAATTTGATAAATAATGGAAAGTTTTAGGTTTTATGTTAAAGAACAATTTACTAAGTAAAGATGGAAATAATTAAAAAACAAGAATCATCGATTTCCAAACAATAATTTCTAATTTAATGAATATCATGAAAGACATTGACTTGCAAAACGTTGCTCTTACTTTCTTAATCTCTCAAAGAAGTTATAGGCTTTAATAAATGAATGCTTTAGCCTAACTTCTATTTTTAGATTATTATAAGCATTCTAGTTATTTTGCATGTTTTTGTAAAGGCATGGCTTTTTTCCATTTAATACATCAACTACTTAATTAGGAGCAGGCCTTTTATTGTTTTTATAATAATGTATTAAGGATTTAGCACTAGAATAGTTTAATTTTAAATCATCAGCAACCTAATGTGATATTTTGCTACTTTTACTTATTTGATTGATTTTCCTTCTTAAAAAACTTATACGAATAATAATTATTAGGTTCGTATTGGTATTTTGTGGATTCGTCTAGATGACTTTTTTGCATTCTTTTTTTTGTTAACAAAATTTTGTTAT